AGAGTGCTCAGCCAGTTTGTCAGGCCTGTGGTGCACCCCAGAGTGCACCTGGACAGACGTCCCCGGCTGGAAGTTCATGTTGTACTGACTCGCAGGCAACGTCTCCTGCTTCTGGGAGTAGATTTGTTCTGTCCGTGTCTGTTCTTGGTGCTGAGGCCATTCCTGGTGTGATGCCAAACTGTATGAGGTACTTGGCATTCCTGTAGCTAATATTGCCAAATTTTCAGGTGCATGACTGTCTGGAACAGAAATACTTCCTGAGGTCAGAGGTACTGGTGCGGGAAATGACGTTGATGGTTTTTGGAAACTTGTGTTTGCGGCTACACCAGTCACTGTATCCACCAAAATGGAATTCTGGACCAAAGATGAACCAAGAAGCGAGTTCTCAGATACCTGTCCATCCCCTTTAGGTTTCCTAGCTGCCTGATTTGCCTAAGCAAAGAAAGAAAGAAGTGAGAAAATACACAGCTTAGAATACTCAGACAGTCCATTGGAATTTAGCTCTGAGGTGAGGATAAAAGCTGACACAAAGTTTCACCTCCTCCTGACCCAGCCACGGGAATAAAGAGCACATACAACATAACTAAACTTTTCCCTTTGGTTCATAGTTCTCCTAGAAGTTCATCTCTTCTTGCCAGACACTGGTACAGGAAAACTTCTTACCCGCCAATTCCGAATTCTCTTGAGCCTGCTGGGTGTTTTCTCCAGTATCTGCAGAAACTCATGAGTTAGCTCTGAATAGGAAAAAAAAAAAGAAGCCATTTTTACATCTGATTCTGTAACAAACAGGTAGAACTTGGTGCATTTTTCCTAGTCTGAGATCATACACAACATCATACATTACTGCTTTTGCAGTAGCTGCTACAGCCTGTGCATGATCCAAATTTATATTTGATTAAAAAATTGTATTTCACTACAGTATTTCACTTGTGACCACTACAGCATTCTGAAACACAGGTTTGAATGTTACCTTTTGTTTTTACTCTTGCAAAACCTGGATTTGTTATACCAAAAATTTACACAGGGAGCTATACAAACAACAGCTCCTAAAATAACATACTTGCCATTCAGCCTGGGCATTTTCTGTATGAACTTAAGTCTCCTTTAAAGTTTCTAAGTCACTGTGTCAGTCATTCCATCAAACTTCAGGAACAACCAGTAACAGCTCTGAAGACACTATAACCATCAGACCCTTGGAAGCACCCTGTTGTAAACAGCAGCTTTGAAATAACTGGTGTTCAAGGCAGAGTACTTGGCTGTGTTAAAACCCACAGATCCTTGCAATTAGAAAGAGAAGGTCTCCATGCCTGTCAGCTGCAAATAAAAATACCTTCAACTGAAATTTAATTTTACTCCTAAGCTAAAAATAATTAAGTACAGTCAGAATGTGAGTGCAGGTCTGGAAGAACAGGCTTCTCCAGAACTTCACAAACAAATTATACACTGAGCTGCTCCCAAGTGCACAACTGCCCTGAGGCAGCCCTTGGTCTGCCCGAGTCCATCAAACACACCAGCTCCATAAATGCCTGAAGAGCAGAGCCAAGTTCACGATCAGCTCACAGCATTCCCTCCAAACCCACAAACCCACAGCCAGGTGGGAAGGAAGCAGGGTGGTGTTTGGAACTAGATACAATTTAAAGATGTACACTAAGACAGAGATGTGCACAGGTCACTCCAGGATCAACAAAGTCCCCGTGGATCTGAAAGCCTCAGGAACTCCCACTCCCACTCCCGGAGCGTATGTGGGCCTCAAATCCAGACTGCTCTGCAGTAAGTGCTATTTCAAAAGACAGTAAACTTCCAGGTATGTGGAGTTCTAGGTGTTTGCTTTCTTCAGGAAAAGCCTTTTGACAGGAAAAACTATTTTACAGGCATTTGAGATACCACAAGTGATGCCAAGCTGTTAATGCAGAACTGCCCCTGTGAACAGTTTTATGCACACCCCTGGGACCGAAACGACTGTTCTGCTCCAGTGCAGTACCAGGACTTTGTACTGGGACATTCCCATCATTCTTGCTTCTAAAAAGCACTAAACCCAAGATTCTCACCTGCACCTACAAAAGGTACATGGATGCCCCTTCAAATGAAAGGTCTCAAACCCAAGTTTGTCTTCCGAAGCTCTCCCCTCTCCTATCCTTCCACCTGACAATATGGTACATGAAGTCAGAGAGACTTAATTTAGGCTTAAAGCTCTTACTGCCCCCATCCCTGCACATCTCCTGAATAATAAACCCTGGAGTTTCCAGATGGGAAAGGCAGTACCACTTACCATCCAGCAGTTCCAGAGTAACTGAAGGATCTACATATTCCCACCAGTGTTTGCCATCGGTGGACACGGGAATCTCCCAGTTGGACCACTTGCAGGCCAAGTGGATGCACACACAGGCTATCACCGTGGGCTTGTACTGAAGGCAGAACGTGGTAAGGTGAAGACTGTTGCACAAATTTCACAATGAGGAACCAAAGGAAATCAATACATGAAAAACAGAAAACCCAAACAAATCAACCATTAACAGACAGAATGAGGCAACTGGTCAAGCAACAGCAGTTAAACATTTTGCTGAATAAGTTCATAAGGTATCTTACTGCCCTAAGAAAACAAAGGGCAGGGCATTTATCTGGCAGAAAAGTTTAATTTGCTTTTGCTATCAAAAGTCTGATGAACAGTAAATAAATTTAACAGTTACTCTACTGTACTTATGTACTAAAAAGAGAGAGTATAATATGGTCAATTAGAACTCCCCAGTAAAAAGCACACAGCTGATTCTGCAGTCTCTGAACGAGACACTCAGAAGGTCCCCAGCAGTTCCCCAGAACCAGGTGAATTACTTGTGGGCTTGGCTTTCATAGGCCTGCATTTGTGACATTTGTGAGCTTGTGTTCAGCTTCCAGCAGCACAAAATACACTGGCTCAGTTTTGCTGCTTTAACACAACATCTGTTTAAGTACAGAATCTTGCCCATCAAGGAACCACCAGGATTGATTGATTTATTTTGTACAGTTACGATAACCAGCAGATATTGCCCAAAAACTAAGTACACAGAATGAAATCCTCTTAAATGAAGCTTCAAGTCGTTTTGCAGTTTGAAGTAATCAAGACTAAAGTCTGCTCTCTCGTTCTTTGTGACAGGCTAAGTTTACACAACACCCATCTGACATCTTAGAACTTACATTTGTCTAAGTACTTAAGTTTTAAAACTGTATATTAAGATTAAAGAGCTGTTTTTAAAAGGAATAACAGTGGGCTTGTACTAGTCTATCTAAAAAGAAAAATCAGCCAGCTGGAAAGAACTTAGGCCCACTACAGTTTTATAAGTTAAGACTGGATCAATATATTTAAAGTTAAGAGAAAACTGCCATTAACTACAAGTGTAAACTAAAAATAGTTTTGTACTTACCAAGACGCTCGGGTTTCTAGGTTAAGTTTATCTCTTTGTAATCTTTAGCTGCTATTCAGGCTACCAATTTTAGATTTATGCACTCACAATCGAGAAAAATGTCATCAGAAAGCACCACTACACTTCTCATTGTGCATTTAACCCCTCTGTGCCACGAGGCCCTTGTCCAATACACCGCACTGCAGGCGGGCAGGAACCACCACTGGAGGTGGCCCAGTCTCCCGCTGCAACAAGGGAAGACACATGGAGGGGGCCCTGCAGTAAAGGAAGCTATAGTGTGCTACAACAGTGCAACAAAGAGGTTCAGGATAACAACCTGTTGGTAGCCATGAAATAGGATGTCTGTGCCAAATCCTTGCTTGCTGTAAGAAAAGAGAAACAGGGAGATTAAAGGTCGGCACGAACTCGGCAGGTTTGTTCCAAAATTAGAGCAGTTTTACCTTCCAAAAAAATCACTCCTGGGTATTGCTACAGAACTGATCTCAATTTGGCTGACTAGCCTTCAAAATTATCTTTTCTGAGACACAGATGAGGCCCTAATGTTCAGTACTGGGGCTGGACCAGTCCTATTCAGTGCCCCTCCCTCTGCACAACCCACAGAACAGTTTGTCTGCTGATCCAATCCCTGCAACACCTCAGAGATGAGAGCACTCTGCTCTGGGAAGCGCTGCTTCCCGACCCTCACCTGGAGGTGATCCCTGCCATTCCCTGGGCTGCAGGACAAGAGCAGTCACTCAGAGCACAGTGCACACTCTGCTCTTGGAGAGGAGCATGGCAGGACACCCCTCCCCCCCTCCCCAAAACCAGAGCCATGTCTTTCCCCCAAAGCCCTACAACACCACAAGTCCCCAAGCTAAAGGGTGAGAAGCTAAAAAAATTTCAGTTTTCTGCTCCTTCTAATTAAGAGCACTGAGCTCAGAACTTTTTGCTCCACATTTCTTAAACCTATGGCAAAGTTTCAATAGAAAACCAACAAGTTCATTTTAGTTAGTCAGGAAAAAAACCAAACCAAAACACAGGACTGCAACGTGCCAGAAATGAAGAGCTACTGACTCAGGCTGTTACAGTGCTGACCCCTGCAGTGACACCCCAACTCCTCACTCAGGTAAGAGAACTTACTGTAACATGCATTAATGGGATAGCTGGGCACAAGGCAGATTGAATGCAGCCTTCATTCAAGTCTTACTTTGACACTATCACTTGAAATCAGTGCTACCTGCAGAGAGCGTAGTGTTGAATTTTATGTCAAAGGGAACATTGTTAAGCTTTTATTTTAATAATAATATTTCCATAAAGTTTGAGAAATACTACAGCGGCTTTTAAATTTTAATTTTTAAACAGCATAATAAAATGTGATTTAACTCAACTTCTAATGATTGCCAGGGAGTACAAATCAGATTTGTCTTTATGCTACACAGCCAGGTAGTGCCATAATCCCAGAAGAATGTGGAAGTAGCAAGGTAACAGGATCTGTTCCCACACAAATTCTACTGATCCATAATAATCAGAAGGTGACCTGACAATGTGTTATGCTATAATATTTAGTTTGCAAACTCTAATGGTAATTGCATACCAAATAACCTCTTCCTCTCCCTCCCAACTAAAGAAATGTAAGGTGGAATTACCAAAAAAAAGAAAAAGTGAAATGAGACTGAGTCTCACTAGAAGCACTGTGTATTTTCATTTGTTTCGTTATGACAAATTGATGTCTTGCTCTTCATTTTTCATCAAAGCAATGTCTAAAGGAGCTTCAATGATTTATACACTCTGTAAAGTCACATGTTTGAATTAAGGGACTGGGACAAGAAGCATCTCTACTCTCACTGAAATGTCCCTTTTGAAAAAGGAAGAAAAGCAGATGCCAGAAAACTTCTATTTAACATCAGCTTGGAAGTTGAGTAAATCAAAACACATACCTGGAAGAAAAGAATCACATCTTGAAACACACATTTTGGCCCCAATCAAAAGTTAACGTGCTAAATACCTTACCTATCCTACAAGTAGTATGATGCTGTTTCAACTTATTTACAGCTAATAATGATCATTGCCAAAACTAACCAGAAGTTTCAGCTCACAACTGAAGCCTTTGATAACACAAGGACAACTGAAAACACCCCTCCCAAACCCTTCTATTTAGGACAGCTTTGGTTGAGCAGAACCCATCACAGGAATTAAAGCTAATGAATTTGGGCTCCTATATTTTGGTGGTTTACTTCCATTATAGCAGTGAAAAGTGCATCTCCAAATTCCAATCATCTTGAAGCAGAGGCTCAAAAAAGCCAGCAGAGCTGCTCTTAAAACTCCCGAGCTGCAGGACCGATGGCTGCGACGCCAGCCAGAAATGACCAGAAAAGCTTGAGCTTTCAGCAGCTCAGAGGGACTCCAGACACCCACCCTGTCCCACTGCTGCAGAAGCAACCACAAGGCAGGGGGTCACTGAGGTAGGGATCAATATTTTGGAACAGGACTTGCTGTCCAATACACCTTCCAAAAGGCCGTCTCCAAGAAACTGCCAACTGGAAACCAAAATGTTTTTTTTTACTGGGCAGAGCCACACAATGGTTGCAATACCAAGATATCTGAGTCTTTTCTTCAACACAGCTTATCTTGGATCTCAGGATACTCATGACAGTGTGACTGCCAAGTCCCCCTCAGGAGGGTGGTAGGTGGCTGTGCCTGGACCCTGCCAGCATTTGGGAGCGTTCCCCAGAAAGAGGAGATGGCAGACAAGCCAGTCAGCATCAGGAGAGGAGCTTCTGGTCCTTCTGGCCAAAGGGGAAGAGCCCCAGGCTCTGAACAGAGGTGTGCTGGTGGATGCCTGCTGTGTCTGGAAAGGGCTGGAGCAGGCCATGGTGTAGGCATTCAGGTCTGAGCAGTCCTGGTGGTTTTACTTCCTTGAAGGTACTTAAACCTCGGGAACAGGCCTGTGAAAGCCTGAGGTCAAAGTTCAGCATGTGGAGGCCACCTGCAGCAGTGCTGGAGTGCAGCTGGGCTTTCAGATCTTTCCACACCACTCAGTACTCTAAGACTTAAATTTTCCTCCTGTGAATACCCTCTGAAAACGCTGATGCATTTTCACCTCCTCTTCTGCTGACCTTGTCTTTCTCAGCCTGGTTTAAGCAATGGTACCTGTGCACACAGATACTATGGCATATTTGAAGGATTTGACACTGCAATTTCCACAAAAGATTAGTAAGGATCATGGGTGTTCAAGGTACCTGGTAACCTGCAGAGTAGCGAGAACAATCCTAGAAATCCTTGAGATCCCATCTGCAGTTCCAAAAGGTTGTGTTCCAACACAGAAAAAGGAATGACTGAAGGCTTCCCAAGATGGAGATGAGGATACAGATTCCTCCCCTTCAAGTTTCACCAGAAGCAGGCTGAGAACAGACTGATTCTGCACCAGAGCTAGAGGACCATGTCATGGTCTTGGCATGAGGGCAGTTTCACTGCTGATCTTTCAGCCAGCGCTGAAGCCAGCGAGGGAGATGGACAACAGAACTGCTTTTGGCGTTTTAGTGGGTTTCTTTTCCTCTTTTCTTCTCTTCAGTACTGGAAGGTTCTTGGAATGGGCACTGAGGCTTGCTGACAGGCCCTCACACATCCACTGTCTTCAGATTCCTTAGAGGACCTGTGGGATCCTAAGGAATGGTGGTCTTGTCTCCTCTTCTCAGTCTCTTGACACTGAGGAAGAACGGTGCAGAAAAAAGACTAAGCCCACACCATTTTCCTCGTCTGCTCTACTGACCAATCTGTAAAGGTGGAACAATTTCATTAACCCAGGAGTCTCTGAACACCAGAAGGAATCACTGGATATGCCTGAACATCCTGAGTCATTATGTATCCATCCAGTCACCTCTTACCTACAATGACCCCTGCTGTCTAACACTGCCTTCAAAAAGGCTTTCAATCTTAGAGAAGAATTCAGCTTTTCCTTTAGTTGTATGTTGAAGCAGTTACGTTTATTTGCACCTATTCCCACTTCCTAATTCATCTTCAGCTTCCAGCAATTAACTCTGGTGTGCCACTACCAGACTAGACAGTCTTCTGACAAAGGACTTGGCTGAACCTTTTGAGCATGAACAACAGAATCTGGTTTTATTTTAATGTTTTTCATTTTGTTTTTTAAAAGGGAGTAGCTGAAAGTTTAATACAGGTTAACAGTGACAGCATAAAACACACTACCCTGGATGCAAGACAACAAGAAGTGATCCAGAGAACCAGCCATCCTCTGAGGCACTGCAGGTTAGGCAGCAAAAGGGCACCCTCTCCCCACAAGGCAATGCAGGGCACACCCCCCAAGCCAAGTCCTCAAGTGCACTGCCACACCTCAGCTAACTCTGCTGCCTCTGCTTTGATACTTAGTCAGCCACATCATCACATTCCTCCCTCCTTTCTCTCCCAAATGTAGTTGGAGGTTTCAATCACAAGGGTCTTGTGTAAGTTAATCACCTTTAATAAACAAAAAGGTATCTCTGCATTCCCAAACGGTGCTTTTTGTCCAAGGTGACGTTACCAGAACTGGAAGAAGTGACCTTGGATTTCTTGAACTCCTCAGTCAATCCCTTTAGCACTAAAGGTTTAACACTGACAAGTCTTAGGTATTGAAAGCTTCAGGACTTAAAATATCTGAGTGTTGCATCTATTGACATTAAAAACCCACACTGCCCAATAATAACTATCTCACAGATAGAGAACTGAACTCATCCCACCACTGTGCCCACGAGCCCATCTCTGCTCTCTTAATACATAACACACAACAATTATTCTGTCCTTGCCTGACTTGCATGCTACAGATGGTTTAAATTTACTAATTTGCTTCCTTTTTTTTTTTTTTAAAAATATTAAATCCACAAGTCTTGTGTTCTCAGCCTACACCATTCCTAGGAGGGGCATACACTGCCAAGGATTCCATTGCATACACACACACACTAAGGAGCACAGCTACATCAGTGAGATGGTTTTCAAGCATCAGGCAAATGACATTCACTTTGCACCTTGTGCCTTTAGGTACAAGGACTTTCAGTCCTCACCGAAGCCTTCAGATTTCAAGACTTGCTATAATTTTAGAATTCTAAGTATTTTTTTCAAGTCTGCTGGCATTAAATACTTAGCTTTAATATGGCAAATTAAAAAACCAGCAGTACCTTCAGAGTATGAATTTGGTCAGTACAAAAGATCAGCACACAAAACACAAAGGGAAGAGCTGAACTGTCAGAGTGGGAGCTATCCCTGACTAAAGGAAACACCTTTTGTGCAGCCATGTGCCTTCCTTCTTGTAGGCTCCAGTCAAACACTCTCCCTAATGTGGAAATCTGAGGCAGGACAACATTGCCTCCACCCCTCCCCACAGCCCAAACACTTTGTGGGGGCTCCCACAAAACAGTGACACGTGCCCACATTTACACTGACCAAGAAAACCCAAAGCAAAGCCCCACAGAGCTGCTGATGCAGAATGCTCAGACTTGAGGTGTAATGACACTCCTGCCCCAAGCCACAGCCAAATCTGCCAGAGAGCAGAGAATCATTATCTTACAGCAAGAATAGCAATAAAGCTGCTTTAGATGCAAATGAATTACAGCACCAGCCCCACTCAGACTCTGAAGACACTGCACCACTAAGCTACTTGCAAATAAGAGATACTCTCCCTTCAAAGAACGCCACTGATTCCAGAGTTGTTACAAAACAGATCTACTTAACATGATTAAGTTGTACCTAACTTTTGCATATTTTTATAGAGGGGGAAAAAAACCCACCAAAAACTTTGAAGCACTTAACTTTGCATTTTTCACTGCAAAACCAGCCAAGGACTAAACACTAAAAGTCATGGTTTAATCATTTCCAAACACTTTTTACTTAAGGAACATGATTAAAGTGAAAAGCTTATTTTAGGTGTTTTTACAACAGATTACTGATTTGTTTCATCCTCCATCTTATAAGAGAATTTTTAATTTTTTTTTTTTTAAAAGCTCCAAAAGAAACCAATTTAAGAATTAAAGAAGGTGTGCCAAAAAGCCACAAAAATACTAACGACCAAAACGAGTTTCTTGCCAGTCACATTAATGAGCTGCATAAAAGTTAGAAGATACACTTAACAAACGCTTTGGGGTCTTGTGCTACCATCCAAAATAAGTACACCAAGCTCCAGAAAAACAATTAGTCACATCTCTAAGCATTTGCATGTGACAGCAGACTTGCCATGCACTCTCTTTACCCCTCAGTTCATTACCTAAAAAGATTTACTAAGACAAAAAAACTACCACCAGCCATCAGCCAACAGGCAGCCTAAACTTCACATGGTAGAGCTATTTCAGAGTGAAAATAATCAGCTCAGAACAACACTAAGTAGCTGGCCAACCACTTCTCAACTACTGACTGCTTCTGTCACTTGGGAACACATGGAGCAGGTATTGCTAAAATCAAATCTTGGAAGAAGACAAAAGAATTGTGAAGGACAGAGGACTGGACTCTTTATCTTAATTTCTAAAGGTTAAGATCAAGCTTTTAGTAACTAGCTTGAATCACTTTGGATAGCACAGTTGGTGAAGATCACATTACACAAATAACATTACTTTCAAATTTTACTAGAAAGGTAAAAAAGGACTTACAGAAGTGGTTAAAAGTCACTGACCTCTCACTAATTGTGTACATTTCACAACATCTGTGTGTGGATGTTCAATGGTAATCTCAAAACCTGAAGAGTTACAAATACATTTTAGAATTATACATTTGCAGCTGTAAAAGAAAACCCCAAACCCCTTATGCTTCCCCACAGAGCTAAAATACTTACTAAACCTTTGCACTGCAGAACAAGTAGCAGGATTGAACTGCCTTTTATTGTGCACATTTTCATACTTCTGAATGGCAGAGGGTACAGCTACTTCATGATCAATTAGGAAAATACCTCAGTAACTCTCTCTTTCTCTCTCTCTCTCTATATATATGCAACCTGGGAAATTACTGTATTTTTAAGATTGAACATATCTGAATAGTTTCTAGCACGTTACTAAGTCAATAAAAACTGTGCTGCAGACGTGTGTGTGCACATGCACTTTATTAATTGCTTTCTAGCACTTAAAACCATTTGCATCTACGAAATTACACAATTAAGTCAATTTGTAGGTCAGGGACTTAAAAAACACTTCTTTGTTTATGAAACTACCTTAAGAATTAGGTCACTACCGTGAGCTATTTTTTTTTAAACAATATACTCCAAGTGGTATTTAAGAACATCTGAGCAAGTCTGTGTTCTCAGGCCTGCTAGCAGGAATTGTCTCTAAGGTATTCTAAAGTCAGAAGAATTTCTTAGCAGAACATTCCATTTCGAATTTGGGAATCATCTGAACCATTAAATGGGTTGTTTCAGGACACACACACAGATAACCCACTGTAATGTGTTATCTTACACAGAGAAGTATCAATGTAATCACTACTTTGGAGTAAAATCTACTTGGAAGCTTACACATTTCTAACTCAAACTATCAGAAATATCTATTTCCTAAGTACAGATGCCCCTTTTTTTTCTCCCAAGTGAAGACAGCAGAACTGCTAATACAAAACTAAATTCACAGGTCAGAAGTTATACAGGAAAACAGTAAAATTCTAGTTTATCAACAGCACATCAAAAATGCAGTGACTTGGGTCCCATTACTCCTTCATGGTAAGTTGGCTGCACAGGAGATATTTAGGACATACCTAAAGTTTGAAGCATTATTGTTTCAAGTATAACCAGCTCTTGGGCTTGTTGAAGGTAAGCCTGAAACAGACAACAAACAGGTGAAGAGCAGCAATGCCTTGTCTGAGAATGTCAATTCAACTGCCTGTTGGAGCACCGGTACTGGAACACCAGAGCAGCACAACCGACAATTCACAACACCGAGAGTTACAATGGCTGCTCAGTGCCAATCAACTTGAGTAGCTCTGGGCAGGTTATTCATTTGACAAGCACTTTAAAAATACAGCTGGAGATGCTCAGCTGGCCTGTGGCTCAGGAAGGATAATGTGAACTCTAGAGCAAGTGGAAGCTGTGCAGACTTTGGCAAATGAAAGGAGGAGCAATGCACAGCAGAGGCAGCAGCTGACAACTCCATCGTACACAGCCAAGAGGGCACAGTGAACCTCTGCCTGAGAGAGACAGTGCCCTCAACTCAGAGCTCTGCACAAACTGTGCCACTCAGGGAACCACATGTGAAACCTCTAATTTACACAGCCAGTCTTCTACTCTACATGTGGAAGCCTGAGAAATAATGCCATTTCAAGATGGAGCAATCTCTTCATGTTTCACACCAAATATGTGAGCATTTAATAAACTGCTTTAAGTAATACAAAAGACCTCAATGGTGCACAAACAAAAGGCTTTTTCCTAGACTGCAGACAGCAAGAATCCAGTGAGACAGTCACACATCATGAGATGAAGCGTCATCTGATCATCTTTACAACCAGAACTTCCACCTACATCACTCTTTGTATCCAGTTGTGGCTCTTGAGGATGAAGACAGGCATTTGCTACTTTAATAACGTGTTCAAGTTTCCGTGGCTGTTCTTCCACTTTTGCAGCCAAAAACAATGCCGTGGGAGACATTATCTGAAGGAGAAAAACACATGGGTATTTTTTAGCTTTTTGCAAGCAGGATTTGAATTTTTTATGGAGAGTCTAAACTAATACTTAGAAAAGGTTTAAGAAGATGGATTTGTGGTTTTTTCCCCCCCAGTTCTGAAGTCATGCAAGGTAACAAAAACATAACTAGTCATGTTTTATTTTATAACTGATGTAATCCTCCCAGCAACACAGGGAAGGAGCAGCAAAATTCTAAATTACATTTGTGAGTAAGAAGTCTGAGGTCAAACTAATTCTAGTTCAACATAAAAAAAAAATAATTTGGTCCAGAAGAGTTAGTCACACAGGAACAGGCTGTTTCAAGTTAAATATACTTTGTGAGAAAGTTCATCCAGTTTCTTGCACACAGAGAGTCATTACACCATCTTTTCAGTAAAAGTCAAAACAGCTGATCACAAGTTGTGCCAGCATTTGATTCTCCTAAAGACTGAGAAACTTTGCACAGAACTTTAGTAAAAACAGCTTGTTATAATAGGTTGTATAAATAAAAGACACTTTATATATACATATATATTCTTAGAAACTTTACTATACACCCAGCAGTATATTGAGAACAAAGCACAAGGATTCATAAAACATCAAATGTCAGTAAAGAGTACACATTACATTTTAGGGGAATTTTATAGAAAACTTAAGGTGTCACAAGCTGACAGCAAAGCTCCCACTGGCAGTTCAGTCTCACCCAGCAGAGCTATGAAGCAGTTTGGATGCCTCTTGTCAGCTACAGTGACTGATGTGTGCAGACACAACACAGCAAACCACACAACACTGAACAATTAGGCCCTCTTTGTATGCAAAAGTTGCCCATGTGAAAGAGGAATTAAAATGGCAGAAGAAATCACCTAGACATGAGCTGATTAAAATGGTTAAAATAAAGCCAGTATAAAGCATTTATTCAGAGCTGAAGCAGCCGCTTGGTGAGTGTTTAATTCCTGCATGGTGCAAGTAGTGCAGGTATTGGATTTCTCATTCAGTGCCCAAACAGAACTAGACTGAGTAGGAGGCATCTCCCCCAAAGTCAGCTTTGCCTTCTTTGTATCAGCAAGCAGCCCTTTGATATGATGAAATGAAGCATTTGGCATAAAGATTTGCAATATGTGAAAAACTGCAACAAACTGATTAGAATCGAGCATTTAAGGGATTAAATTTTAGAACCTTTCCAGTGTATTGAGGGAGTACTTTTGCATCCTTAAATCACTTTGAAATGTCTGCTTGGACCTTATGAAAAACTTCAAAGTTGGCAGACTTGAAAACTGACACCCTGGGAAGGAGATACCCTTTGATGAGCAGAAAATGAGAAATTCAGCATTCTGAAAAACCCAACCCACCCAAAACAAGTCACAGGGAACAAATTCTTCCATAAGGGAGGAAAAAAACCCTGTTTTCTTTTTAAGAAGCTTGTAACTTGAGCCTTACAAATGAACAAAGGATGGAAAGACTTTCCAGAGTTGAGAAAGGGAGAGAATCAACAGCTCTGAAGTGCCAGAAAATGCAGATGTGCAGCAGCACACACAGTTTTGAACCAAGTCACCACTGACCACACAGTTGGATCATCAGCAAATTCTCACTCGTTGTTACTCTGTGTCTGACTGCACCAAGGTTCTGCTTCATTCCAAAAAAGCACCTTCAGCAGCCTGACTTCAGGAGATCTTCTAGTTTATTTAATGTGAAATGGGCCACTTCTGGTCAAGAAGTCTCCACATGACTCCTGATCTCCAAGACCTTGCACAAAACATGGTTCTGGAGGTTGATTAACTCAGGCTGATGAACTGTCATTTAACTTTGGTTCATCAGAAACCTTCCTACAGCCCCATCATCTATTTCCTTCAAAAAGAAGTGTTGGCTTCTGGCCAAAGAACTTCAGATCTTTGCCTTGTTTAGGACAAGGGTTCTCACTCCCAGTTTTGAGGAGGTCAGTATTTTTATCTTCCTTGGTATTTATTCAGAAAATAGACATCCCAATAAAATTTCAGACTTGGCACACATGCAGTCTCCAGTGAAGATGACACACCCTGCTAAGTGTATAACTGGCAAAGTTACTCCAATGCTTTCATTCATTTCCAATTCCCAAAAATGGCCAAAACCCCCAAAGTAGAATAAAAGGGCAAAATTAAAGACACCCACTTGACAACGAGATAAGCTTCCTATATATAAACATCTTAATTTACATCAACCAAAATAATTTAGTAATTTTCTACCATGCACCCAAACCAGTCTTTAAGACTTGGAGAAATATCTTCAGAAGAGACATGATTTATGGAATTAAATCCCATTTTTTACTGGCTGAGAATCTCAGAAACCAAGTCCCACTGAAACAGAAAAAAAAATCCCCAAACATAAGGGCCTTGTTAAGACAACCCAAGAGCACTGAACAGTGAGTTTCATTGGGAAATGTGCTGTGAGTCCTTTTTCACTTAAAAAATACAAGACACAGTGTAAAAATAAAGGCATTCAGAAAAATCTCAGAATACACATGCAGCGTGCAGGAGAGATTTCCCTCTCCCTTTTAATGCCAATATTAGTGTGTTTTTAGATTTGACACAATTTAGCTTAAGACATTAAGTGGTTCCAGTCTATGAGAGGGTTTTCAAGTTTGAACACAAAGAGCTGAAGGTTTGTTTTTTTTTATTATAAGCAGGAACTTGCATTGCTTAAAAGCAGCAAATATGTTAAATTGCAAGATTAAAACCAGAACTGAGGATCCAAACCAGCCTCACTAAAGCCTGAAGTGTGTTATGAAAGTTTTAAGAACTCTGCATAACTGCCAAGTCAGCTGTTTAATGCTGGGGTTTGTACAAGATGATCTGTACAATTTGCACAGGAGACAGGAAGGGAATACAGAAGGATGGGACACAAAAGCCCCTCCACACAACTCGCCTACTTTGCACTTGAAGGAAAAGAACTGCTCACACAGCCTTCTTTAGGCTCTTCACTGAGCTCCCTGCATGGCTAAACCCCCCTTGACATCACCTATATTTTCGAGGG